CCCAGAATAAACTGTTGATTTAATATCTATTATCAGTTCCATCATTGACTGCATCATTGTTGGTTGACTGTTTTTCTTTATCGCAATGCTAAACACAATGGTCTCTCTGCGCTCTGTCATTCACAGGAAATCCAACACCGGATTTTAGCGTTCTAAGTCCGTAAACATACCACCTACTCACCTGAAGACAACTTCCATAAGAGTCGATGGAATTGTTTTGTCCGTAGATGCTTCATATAGAAAGATATACATACATTTTGACTAATTTTTGAAAGAACGTATCGTAATTCTTATTAGAATATTTTCAGTCGTATACGGTTTACTTTATTTGAGCCTCTAATTTTAGGGCATGAACAGGAACTTTTTTTAAATAACATTTTTATCTGTTTTGGGGATGTATTTGTAATTCTTATGTCTGTTACACTGAACTTTGTTTTTCTTGGAGTTGTTTTAAATATATAACGTTTAAAGTACTTTCGATCTTTCGCTACATTTTTCTTCAGCTCCATCTGGTTTGCTAAAATATTATGCTCTCAAAATAAACTTAACTTTAATATTTTATAATTAATTTATTAGTATTTTTCTGTCTGTTTCATATCCCATTTCCCTTGTGTGTTTTCTTTGGAAATGGTTAATTACTATAATTTATTGTTACGGTTAAATAGATTAAGAATAAGAAATATGGAACATAACTATATGGACAAGTGTGAGTAAACTGTAAAAACCCGATATTTGTACGAGGTTCTTTATCATATAAAATACAAGATGATAAGAATCGGGTATAGAATTTAAATATTTCTTCTTTCAAAAACGCATCTCATATGGAAAGCGTACTCTGACTTTGCATACAGAGTGACTAATTCCTTTTGTTACTGACAATAAAATTCAAGGCCACTTTAATAGTCATTCGACGTGCTAAAAAATAAAGTATAAAAAGCCCAACCCTTGCTACAAGAACATTTCCATCACTATTGCACAACTTCAAACAGTTCGTACTGTCTAAGCAACACACAGACAGGGTTGTGTGGCATGTGGGTTTCTCTGTGTGTGTGTGTGTTTTCTTCTAGCAAAGCCACATGGTCTATCTGCTGTGTCAACCGAGGGGAATCAAATCCTTGATTTTAACATTGTAAATCCGAAGACTTACCGCTGTCCCACCGGAGAACGTTTTTCTCTGTATATTTTACAGTACCATCAGTATAGACAAGAGTGAAACCCAAATCATAGACCATATTACACACTTCCACTCATTCATTGTTCGCAGTTTGGGCTTTAAACACTGCTGAAGCTGTGTTTTCTAGTTTGCAACTGAGATAAATGGTTTGTTTGACTGGTTTTTGGCCGTTATATGACTTTTTGATTTGTAATATCCTTCGGTTATTATTTTGTAAAGATAGTCGAATCCTGACAAATTTTGATGGAAACAGTCCGTCGTTAATTACACTTTAAAATATTGTTCAGTTGTTTTCCCACTGAAATGTCACCAATGGTTGTTAGCTAATATATTATTTTTCGTGGCAGAGTATTTTGTTTCGATTGCGACTGTTTATAGCCATCAAGCATGATTTCTGCAAGACAGAAGGTCAGATATATAACCTTGATTTAACCCAATGCTTTTTCGTCTAACTATAATATGATAGATTTTTGCATTCATAGGGCTCACCTGACACGTTACTTGTTCAGTCTGTTTTTTATGTGCAAATGAATTGAGTATTTAGAAATACGTGTTTGTTAGGCTCTAAAAAATGGACAGTGTGTGGTGTGTGTGTTTACGTTCTTGTATATATGATTTTGTTCTAACTGCGGTCAAAAAACCAACATTAGATAACTTACAATTACCCATGTTTCTTAGATTTTCAATTACTATATAACTATTAATTATTTCGTCTCTCATTCACGCGAAGAGAATATATTTTCCCACAGAGTCGTTATACTTATATAACTATATAACCAGACTATTTACTAACAATACTATACGTGTCCAATCCGGTATCCATGGCAACATAAGTAGATCAGATTAATTGTCATAGTGACTGCTTCTTCAGTCTCTTAAGTATTTTTGAATTCAATGGAATTGTAGATGATACGGTACTCTGAATCGTGTGTGGCTTATTTTCCTTACGCATGGGTAGCTACCATGGATGACGTCATCCCTCAGGGAATACATGAATGGAGGCAATTAACAACTTTTTCAGTAATAAAATTATGCTTATTTGAATCTGGTATGCTCTGACAATACTAGTTACAGTTCACACAAATATACGTATATGTTGTTAATGATTGCTAACGTATTTCTCATCTGCATTGGTTTGGTTCAATGCACTGAACCCATTGTGTAATTACACATAAAAAATCCAGCGTTTGTATTACCTATCCAGCAGCTGTCATACTAGAAACCCTTAGCGTTCCAATTTAAGCAAGCAAGGAACTGGGTAAGGTTTTACAATGTTTTCCACTGCTTCTTTCGCACTATGAGTGACTGTCTGTATATTATTTACCAATCAGTGAATCTCTGGTATTACTAAACTTAGCGAACGTGACACAGCAACGTAATTTCATCTAATATCTACCAATCACATGGTCTTACACGATAAAAATAAAACATATCAAAACCTTCTAAAGGACTGATATAGAACGTCTGTTCGTTTTTGACAAAGTAAACAAAAACTAAAAGTCTGATTATCTGTCTTCTTTATAACATTAAAGACTCATAATAGGAGACTTTCTCTTGTCTTCTGTCGGGTCAGTTTGGGAGTAAGGAAATTAATTAATATATATATATATATATATATTACCTATAACACTTTAAATTGCAAATTACTTGCAAACTAATATTCATTTGTATGGAATGCATTAATCATTAATTATGTAACATCTGATACAAGTGTACAACCGTAGTGGTACGTTTATCACAGGCCCGAAACTGTTTTTCAAAATACGCTATTTAGTAAAATAAACTTATGTTAAGCCTGGAGTTCAGTTCGATCTCCAATACTTAAGTTCAATATTGATCGTTGAATATTTATAATACCATCATACGACTATTACAAGCAACTTCTCTGCCTCCGGTAAAAACAAAATCCCCCTATAAGGTTTACCCTAGTGACAGGATCGGATGGTTGCTCTATTGTGTTGTGCATGCGCAAATAAAAGTCATGTGACCATCTAAACAGCTCTGTTTCTAATCTAGGATGTCAAACTATAGAAGTAAAACTTAATCCCCCCAGATGAAAAACACAGAAGTGGTCCTTTGAATCACTCTGTGAGGTGCAGGGGGCCCACAGCTGTCAAGTTTCTGAATGTGTATTTACTTTATTTCACTTCCATACACTCATTTATTTCGCTTATATACATTGATGTATCATACAGAATTTTTTTAATGCTAATTTGATTTACTTAATTCACTTTTATACTTTGGGGTAGCATGCACAAAATGTAGGCCCAGGTACTGATAAGGATTGTAACTGACTTTATGACGGTATTATCAGCTACACTCATTTTATAACTTCTATCTATTTTAACTCTCTTTGTCAGTTTTGGCCATTTCAATGATCATTTTTACGTCAGAAATGTTTTCTTAATATAATTAGTATACTTTTTTTTATTTCAGAACGAATGTTTAAAGTCAGTGGTTATTATTCAGTTTTATAATTTAAGAATGGAGAAAAATAATAAGTCTGTAAGTGTATTGCGTAACCTTGTAAAGAATGAATGGAAGAATATAACAGATATGTAAGTGTACCACATAACCTTTAAAGAAAGAGTAGAGAAACATAACAACTCTGTAAGTGTATGATTTAATATCGTACGTTAACTCAGCACGTAGCTTTGCATATATTTCCAACTAACTCCCTCACACAGTTCTGGAATTAGCAGGGCCAAATTTGTTAGGCGAACTCGGGGGTGTCGTTATCTGTATGACGTAGTCTCCCTACCAATGGGTTACCAAGGTGGACTAAAACGCCCGAAGGTTACCCAGTAATGTTGATGGTGTAAGTGTAGGTTTTCAGAGTCACCGAACCCGAATCTGGTACTGTGTTTAGTATTTCTAGCTCCCACGGGATCCCGAGGATGCCATGTTAGAAACTGTTTTCATACTTCCATTCAAAAGCTAGCAGGATCAAATTTTACACACTGCTCAAGTACCACGGGCAGGTGTTCTCTAACTTCTTATATATATTTATTTTTTGAGGTAAGAAACCACACTCCGCCCAGAACAGCTATAGAGGTAATACTAGATAATGGAGGAGCTTGATCTGTCAATTAGAGCCTCAGTGAATCATGAGGATGGCCTTTGAACCCGTAGCTAAGGGCTAATATTTTATACTAATTTAAAAAAAAAGAAAAGAAAAGAGTAGAGAAACTGGTTTGTAAGTATTTGAAGTGCAAAAAAAAACCTGTTACTGTATTTATTGAAATATCGTTCATGGGAAGTTTTCAACATGATTAAATATTATAATTCACATCATGAACTGTAATGTTGATTTAAGCTTTTAATATGAAAACAATTTTGTAGAATGCCATCACATTTTTACAGTTAAAAGTTCAAGAAAGACATTTAATTTTTCAAGGCGTTAATAAAATGTAATGTATGACATATGAATATGATCCTTACCCTCTCATTTTCGAACAATTTAAAACTTTTAAGGGACACTTGACACTCCTGTTGCGCCATCTATTAAGAGTAATATAAGTTTGGTTAAAGTTTCTATGACATTTTTATTTATAAATCTAAAATCCACTGTTATGTTACTGTATAATTTTTTAGATTTTTATTGTAGTAAATATATACATATTAATTATTTATTAAATTATGGTGACGAACACAGTTTTTTATTCGTATATTATTAAACTTTTATATAATATTTCCGTAAGCCGTCCCCACAAATTAATATTTTCGTATCCACAAAAGCAGCTGTAAACCTAAATACAATATCTATGTATATTAAAAATGAATTAAAATTAGTTTTTAAACAAATAATTCTTTATGTGTTTTTAAGCTGTCAAAACGGAAGATTTTTTCGATGCTGGGGTAATGGAACATGTGCAACACGAACTTATGGAACTGAATGCAGCTACTCAGGTGGACGTACAGGAGACACCTGGAACAATAACATTCCGTAGTATTGTAAGTCTTAGATCTATTAGATTCCACTGTACTTTTTTCTACGGTATTGTATTTGTTTTGTCCTGTTAACTTTCATGTCTCTGTGAGGTATTACATTTTTTGCTACCATCTTTGTTCAGGGGGGGGATACAAATATTTTTTATATTTTAGTTTTCAGTTCATATTTCTGTTGTTGTTAGCCGTACAAGTTAATACGATGAATGAAACGGGCAAATGTGTGGTTAACACTTCTATCACTGTTTATTGTTCACGAAAATACGATGATAAAAATATCCATTACTGTGTTAAAGAAAAGATAATATTTGATATTTGTCTCACTGTATATTTATTATTGTTATTTTAGGTAAAGGTTAACTGTGGATATTTGTACTCGACTAGTATCAGAACATAACATTGTTTATGATAATAATAATAAAAAAACGACGACAGATCCATTATTGTTTTAAAATGAAAATTCACAGTTCATATTACTATCCTAGTTCTACTAACTTCAAATGCAGTTCTTAGTTTTTTTATCGATGCAGGAAATTCTGATAAATCCAGCATGCACTGTACTTGCTTCAGACACCTTCTGGCATACACATACAAAATGTTTCCAGAACAATTCTTATTGTTTATGGTAGCCGTTTTGTGACAAGTAGTGTGTTTTGTTATGATCTACATTCTTCTTTGATTGACTGGAGGTAAAGTGTTCATGAAACGTGTTACCAGTTTTTGAACAATACTCAAAACTCAGTAACTTCAATACTGGATAATGATTTGAAAAGACACAAACGTTTACAAAATTATTAGAAATTTACTTGGGGATCCCGCTTGGTTGATATTTGATCTCAGTCTCTGGCTCATATAAAAGAACATGCTAATTTTTTGAACCCGTACTATGTCTAGTGTACTTAAGCATATTCTTGGTGAATGTGACGTAATTGCACATTCTAATCAGTTTAAGATCATATAAACTTTCCAACATGTATCAGGTAACATTGTTGTGGAAGCTTGCTTAGTATACGCAGGCCTTTAGTTGTTATTCAGAACATTTAAGCTATATTGTAATATTACGTTGCACTTTTAAGACTAACAACTGTCAGCCATCAACAAGTAGTTAAAACATTATAGAGAGGTAAAATATAAACTTTTCGAAATATTTTAATTAAAAAAACAAAACAAACAATCAAACTGCGCTTAAGATTGATGTTAGGCTTATTCATACTTTACAGTCATCTAAGTAGATTGGCTGGGCATGGCTAGGGGTTAGTGTCCTGGACTGCGAACTTAAGTGTTCAAGGTTCGCATCGCGTTACGCAAAAATTTAATCCGTTGGTGCGTTATAAGAGTGATGGTCGAATCCCACTATTCAGTCGGAAAAGAGTAGCTTTTTGACTAGCTACTTTCTCTATAGTTTATCAGCTCAAAATTAGGGATTTTGTTTACTTAAAGAAAAAATTCTCAATAAAAAAGTAGCCTATTTGCTAACATTGGAGCAGTGATTCTGAACGTGGGGGCGCACGCCCCATAGGGGGGCAATTTGAAAATACTACATTAAGAAAAAATTTTCATTTAGGTGTGAAGAGCGAAAAACATTCCATGACTCAAAACTAAATTTCAAAATTTTACATTATATTATTATACCTTTTCAACATCAAATTTGTTTTTATATTAAGGGGGCATCAAATTTTTTGAGGTGTTGAGGTGGGGCATGGAACAAAAAAAGGTTAAGAACCACTGCATTAGAGGTTGCATAGACTGACAACAAAGTACACCTTTCTAATGTGAAAACTTATCATATGTTTAATTTCCAGATATAAAAGTTAGTATTAGATAGTTCATAGTACATAAGTATAGAAAAACTCTTCAAACCTGTGATGAAAATGCACAAGTTTGAGGTGAAAAAATAACTTCACATACATGTATATACATATATGTGGGAATTTAGCTGTCTTTCAGTTTTGTATGTGTGATTTTCGTTTGACTCAAAAGAGACGTCTTGCTTTGTTCAATGCTGATAAAAGATTGTTAAAATGCTCCTTTGTGACAGATCTATCATTCATCTTACTTTTGTGCAAAAACTGGTGAGTTGTTATAAGATGGGAATGTTCCCTATTCGATAATTCTTTTTGTAGACTTCTAGTGTTAAAGACAACATAGTCTATTGAACATAAAAGACAGATATATTTATAAACAATTGGTGATCTCAACAGGTTAAGAATTCTGTAATTATGCCAGAAAAGATTAGAAAGTCTGAACTGACTTTTAAAAATGTATGTAACTGTAATCTATGAGGAATTGTTATTAGAAAAAAAAGCACGTTCAGATTTGTGATCCACAATTATTTTGCCACCTCTCCTTTCTTGGATTTTTACTAACCCACAGGCATATTACTGCCAGTAGAATACACCATGACTTTGGTTCTTACTTATCTTATAATAAATCTCTGGTTTTAAGAATTAAAGTTGTTCATCTCTTTAAGTAGATTTTATTAAGACCCGGCACCACTCGGCTCTTATATATAGCTGCACCTTTTTTATTTATTACTGATTTCACAACTGACTACTTTTATGCTTTCTATTGTAGTTAATATGCATCATAGGTACAGTGCATGAGGGTAATGGATCACAAAGACGACAAACATAGCAAATATGGCATGTTCTTTTCTTTTGTTTTTTGTGTTCATCACATACTCTGCCAGTTACTACTGTTTCCATGCTTCCTGGTATCCGATTGAAAACCTGAAAGTTGAGTTGAAATCAGTTCAACTAATGTAGCCAAACTGTTTACAAATAATTACTATTGCACTTTTTTGATTATATGTTTCATAATTTTGTTTCTGCCAAATTTTGAATAAAATATCCTACTTTTTTGCAGCTGTGGGTCTTAAATATGTTTTCAAAAATCAATTCAGACTTAATGATTCTTTGCTGCAAATATACTTGTCTTTTGCATTCAACAAAGAACTTGTGTGAACATACAGCATTCTTATCTTTTAAAGATTTACAATGCAGATGTGTGAAGTGAATGTGATGTCCCTGTCAGAAAAGGTCATTCTAACATTCCCTTTTCATTAGAATTACCAAATCCTATATATTAAGGAGTCTATATAAGTTGTAATATACTGGTTTATCACTGTTAGTGATAAAAATGCAAGGACAGTAGATCAAGTAATCTTTTTAAATACAAATCAGTAGTGTATATTCCTTTCTTTTAGATATAGTAGTTGTAGAAGATAACTTGTACCTGTATAACATTTAGTTATAAAGACCAAAGGCAATAGATCCAGTATTTTTCTACGTAAAAGGCAACAGTTAATATTAATGTGCATATGTAATAGCATCATTCTTTACTATCCCAACATGGATTTTCTAAGAAAACTGTTTAATAGCATTTCAACTTTACCTAGGTTTTATTTCTGTCTAAGTTAGTTGTTGTGTATTTTTTCTGTTTAAGATATACTGCTATCTTATTACCATTCAGTCATTTCTAATTTTGATTTTTAGGTTCAGGGGCAACGAGTAGAAAAGTCTGGGAAAATCACAATGTTGTTGCATTGGTTACCAGAACAGATGTAAGTGTGTTATATTTTTTATTGAAAAGAAACCGGTATATTACTTGAGGTTAATTTTTTTTCTGGTATGCTATACAGAATATATCTAACCAAGGAATGTGAAAGAAACAAATACTGATATTTGTGACCCAGAATTGTTATCTTTTTCTTTAATATTTTTATGTCATTATAGATTTAGTCCATTACTAGACTAAATAAAGTACATGGTATTTTGTTTGGTTTTTTTAGTATAATTTTGTTGTACTTTTTTGTTTCTAAATGATGATTTGACTCTTTTTTTTCCTCAATTTGTAGTCATTTGAGAGGTTATGAAATCTTCATGGTATAAATGTTTAGTATATTGTTACATCTCCGTTCGTTAGTTAATTTTCCGTAAATTCGTTCTGACAAGACTTTAGTGACACAAGTCCTTTCTTAAATAAAACTGGTTTATTCTTTCTGAATACAACTTTACGATACACTTAATTTCAACAGTCGCTCTGTAACAAACACTATATTTCTCAACGAACTTCTCACATGCTTAACAATATTCTCTCTGACTGCAGTTCAATTACTCATTACCCTCTTGTCTCGTCACGTT